ATATAATATTGTGTAGTCTAGAGGGATGTATTATAAATTTTAATATCTTCGAAATTGATTGATTGACATAACCGCAATAATGATAACAAAACTCGTCCGTCGTGCGGTATATAGTATCAAATCAAAATCAAAATAATAATTCATTATTAATTTAGTATACCTAATACCTACGCATAACTAAATAGTTTGTCGACCCTTTCATAACTATTATTACCAACGTCCAAGAAATAGATACGGACAGTCGTACACGGGGTACTGATGGAAGAAGTACAAAACGGTGGATATTGATTAAGAAAAATATTAGGTATTAGCAACAGCCTGTTGTGGGGCGGGCCTTGTTTTTGCAGCATATTGTACTTCATAGTATATTTTATCATTTCCTCTTCACCTTTGTGGTTTTTAAGATTTCTAATATAATAATCACATAGATATTCAGTCTAAGACTGTTTTTATGTGGAAATCACGATTTCGGCAATGAAACGTGTTGTGAGATTTTTCAACATGACCATAATCAGTGTTCAAGGCCACATTCGTCGGCGGCGCAATGTTATATGAGATTGGTAAAATATTTTTTGCACTTATTAAAACTAATTGCAGCCTACCGCCTGAAGTGGCGTATTATTATTATTATCATTTGGTGATCCGTGAATAAAGATAAGTCAGATATTATGCATGCAAATATGGTATGTGGTATAATATGCCTACGCCTATACCCAATGTATATCTATATACGTATCATTGCATCTCGATAATAGTAAAAATACTATCGATCGAATAAAAATGTTTATCTCATTTATGACATCACCAAATTAAGTAGATAGGTGCCATTTTATATGCTATCGGTGACCTTGATAACAATCGAGCACTTACAATTTATTAGTCTGATAATTGAAGCTATTTTCAACCGTTTTGCAATTGTATACCGGAAAAAAGTCGATCGAAGTGTTAGTGTAATAATAATTATAGGTATAGTCCACGGATGTATGTTTTAAATATTAAAATGGCTTTATTTCCGCGCATTAACACACCGCGGTTTTGATGATAAGCACTTATTATTAGGCTTAAATTATTATTATTATTATTATAGGTATAGCAAAATAACTCATTCGCCAATATTAATATATACTGCAGTTGGTGTACAATGTGCATAAATACATAGGAGGTGAATTATTTTGTTTTGTCTATAATAAGTACTATAATATATGTTACTAGATCCTATGTACTTGGCATAATATTATAATGATATTTATTATTTACAGTGTCCACTTTACGACCGAACACTTCTGACATAAACGCATAGTTCTATACACCCTCCCGACACTGTAGTAGTAATTGCAAATCTCAATAAAAAAATTTACGTTATTATTTCCGAAGGTATACGCTTACAAACAAATAATTATTAGGTATATTGGTATTTGACCGGCCTCTGTGGAAACAATTTGTTTTCTATTAATAGCAGTAATTAGCAATATTAATGGACTACAAATGACGATAAATGTAATATCTACACGCAGTATACAATTAAGTTTTATATAAATTATAATATCCACATAACCATCGATTGCCTGTGTATTTAACAGTTATTTATAAAGTCTATTAGGTATGCTAGGCGAACTGCCTCCCAGTCACGTACATCGTACTTGAGTAAGACAATAATTATCCGCAATTTAGTCGCATAGAGAATGTGTGTACATAAAGATCGGAAGACGTTTGCATTTCCCCAATCCCTCGACCTTCCCGGATTAAAATTTATAGTTGGGAAATATTGACTTCGATTAAACGCACAACAACTTTGGTATAACGTCGAAACAGTTAAACTTATTTTTGCCTAAATTTGGAATTTTTAGATAAAATTCATTGGTATAAACAATTTTTGTATAAAAGCACATATTTTTTTATACATGATTTAATTAATGTCTGTAATCTATTTATTATAGCTAATTTTTTGTAAATGTTATTTATTCATTTTTTATTCAATTTAATTTCATAAGCAAAATATGAATACTGGGTACCGCGGAGAAGACTTGTTTATCCATCATAATATTATAAAATTAGGTCAGTTAACTTAAATATTAGATTTCATAATTAGATTTGCCATATTATTATTGTGCTCGTTCTCGCTTTTAGAGACGTATAGGTACATATTATGGAGGTATAGTAGTTGTAGTTGTAGTAGTACTCGTAAATAGGTATAATTATTGTTGCTGTCATAAATCGTGAGAAAAAACGATTACGCAACAAGTAGCTTCTATTAATAATCTATTAAAAAATGTTCAGTACATTTCACTATTTTATGAACGATGATAATACAATAAATAATACAACTATTGATGCATATTATACCGACATATTTTATTGTTACTTTGATATTTTTTTGCAAAATCATGCATTTCTACAGTTTTTAAATCTCATAAACGCATATAAACCATAATTTGGGGAAACTATAATTTGCTAAAACAACATTACTATATAGTAGCTGCTAATTTCTACCAATTTATTTTTGATATTTATAAATTGTTCTAGAATGTTTATTCGGTTCATTTATTTATAAATTACAGTTTCCAGTTGTTTTTGACATAGAGGTTTATTGTACACGCTTGGCCTTATCCCAGTTCATTTTTGAGGTAACTTGTCCAACAAATTTACTTGTCATTACACAAAACGTATTATTAACTTAAAGTCGATCGACAGTACTGAAAGTTGATAATTTGTCGTCACCACTACAGTTGGAGACTTAAACGTTCAGTGTCCAAGTTGCTCAACACATTAATACCACAAGTTTACAGTTGTGCTGTTTTGGCTGCAGGACAGCTAATTCTTAGGCGGTATTTATTTAACTAACCAGTTGACACAAATCGATAAATATGTGTAATTTTTTGTTTGAATTGTTGGTGATTGATCTTGATAAATGGACAAAGTCAATATTAGTTGACCATATAAAATTTATTACATGCAGAATAATAATGAATTAATAATATTAATCTTTTTTTGTTTCTCCTTTGGAAAATTGTATTTTTTTCTTCTGTAATAAATACTTTATTTTGTATATAAAAGCGTTTAAGATTACGCACGTGATCAACCGATATTGGTATAATTAACTTTTATTACAATCGAACAATAATTCTCTCAAGACCGAAAAGTCGATAGCGTTTGACTGGTTGGAGACTTCTTTATGCAGCATGCATAGTGCGTAGTGTATTCTTTGTAAGATGTTTAAACGGTCATTCGATGCCCCCCCCCCCCCAACCGTTGCGGCCGATTGAATGATATATTTTTAATTCTTTATAATATTTAATACCCAGTGCTGTTGTTCGCAATGAAATATAGTCGTACGTGGGACCCAAAGAATTACTTGATTCATTACTGTACATCCAGAAAGAAATACTTTAACTTACTATAATAATAACATATCAAATTAAAAAATCCACCTCTCATCATTAATACTCAACTAGTCATAGTTATTAATTAAGGGTCTGTATTCAAAAACCTTAGACCGCGGTGAACTATTTTTGTATGCACAACTCTGGACAAAATTACGAAAATGAGAGTCTTGATGTTTTCAGCTTTTCGACATATCGATAAATCAGAACCATATAACGAAAATTATAACAAATTACGAGACGTATAAAATTTAAAATTATATTTCCAGATATCATAGATGAGCGATTTCGTACAGGTTAAAATTATATTTGCACCATCTTGAAGATGATGAATTATAATGAATAAATTATCAGAAGTGTTTAATTATTTTTTTTCATTTTACGTTTTAATACTTTTAACATTTTTACTTATTCAACATTGTTATATCATACTATATTTAACCTTATTGAATATTATACCTTTAGAGTTTGAAAATATGTCTCGTAATTGAACTTAAGAATCTAACAAAATTATAATATCTAAGGAGGAACTGTTGTACTAATTTTATTAAATCGACTTATCTTGATTTATTGTTATTGATCTAGTCACTAGATTAGACTAAACTCTAGTCTATTGTAGCTTATTGATGTTAAAAGTATTTGCATGTAATGTTTATAATACTATAGACGTAAGTATGGTATTAATTTATTGTAATAAATAATAATATTTACATTACATATATTATAATATAACGAAAAGATCCAATCGTATAATTATTATACAATGTAATTACTGGAAATCTAAAATTTAACAAGGGTAAACAAAACATGTATGTTCATTTATTCTTACAAAATGTATTGTTTTTTAACTAGGCAAACAAATAATCATAATAATAATCATCCATTTAACTTTTAACAAATTACTGCTATGAGCTATATAAACATTGCATATTTACATTATAGACAATATAATACTATTATGATGTAATTTATAAATCTAATTTAAACTCAAATATAAAATATACCCTCGAGGAACGCAAATGTTTTGCAATAAAAATCTAAGAGCTAATATTGTGTAACGAATAAAACTAACAACAAACTTTTTAACGTTTATATAAGTACCTACGCGAAATAAAATACAAATTGTTTTAGTATATTATTTTACATGCGTACACATGGTGATGTGATGGCTATTATTTTGGTCAAAATGTTCTCCGAAGTTCATTTGGAAATAATATCGATGTTATACACGAAACATGTCACAAAATATTGAAAAAATGTGTACTGAGATCATCAATAATCAAAACCTACAATGTGTTATAAATTTATGTAATATTTTTCATCAATTTTAGACTTACTTTAAAATTTACTATTATAATAAATGATTATGTTTTGGACCAAATCGTGATATTTTCATGATCATATCATAGTAAATCGAGGTTACGATTTCAAAATTAGTGCCTATTAAAAATCTTTATTTAAGTAAATAACATGAATAGGTACCCAATAGCAAACAATGTTCAACTCATTTCAATACTGGTAAATAAGTACAAAATGTTTTCACTAATTAAATGTAGAGTAAATATTGTATAGTATAATTTTTTATATAATATACCGAATTTATGTCGAGAGCACAATATAGTTTCGGGATATTTTTCTTTTCTTTTTTTTTTTTTGTGATCGAACCATAATATTTCGTTGTTTTGATCCTCTATTTTACGATTGAACATACCTATATTATGTACTATATAAATATGTATTTTTTAATTGATTAAATTCATTTATTTTCACCAGTCACGAATGCTCAAGTTTGACAGACAGCTTTTGCAGATAATTAATAAACTTATCTTATTATTGGTTGTGTAATATATATACATATAATTAACAATGAATTCCGTATTACAGCGACTTATTAGAAACATGATGTTACGAATATTTGAACAATGGCTTACATAATATACGTATCGCATAAGATATAAATATAATAATCTATGCATATTCTATTATAGGTAGAGGCAGATCACCTGCAGTATCGCAGTGCACAGCAGTGTACTAATATAACATTGTTAAACATGGTAAATCGTATTTCAGCACTATTATAATAGTAAAATCAGTTACGATAGTGAATAGATTATTGAAAATACTCAATAGCTAGAGATTATGAATCAAATTTTCAGATATGTGATGTGGTGATCGATATTTTGATAACCTAACGCATGTGAATATCGCTGGTAAATTTATTGTCCTGCAAAAATATATGTTAACTCCACCAGTACTAAATTAATGTAAAGTGCATACAATATTAGTGTAATGAACAATTAATAAATTTAATAAAATAATTAGTTACTAGTTACAACGACCAAATGCATTCAATAGCACTAATAACACATTGTACATATTATACTATGTGTCTATTATAATATTATATTTATCATGTATGTATGCATGTCTGAATATTTCTAAGCAATTGTATAAAAAGGACTTATAGATATATCTAATTAATCTATGGTACTAAAAGAAGTATGAGAATTGAGTTGAAAAAGCAATAAAGATTATTGCATAACATTGTATTATAAAAAAAAAATATGTATTAAGAGACTTGAAAATGGGAAATAAACGAATCAAATGGCTTAAAAAAAAAAATCACAGACAAAAAAACGAAAAAATCTGATTCTGTTTTTCATCACACTTTAGAACCAACATTAACGATGTAACATCAAAGGATAAGTATTGGACGAAAAAAACGAAAATCGGATTTGATGAAAACTAATAGCGTAACTCGTCACACATTCTGCTAAGCCGCGCAGAAGATAGTTATTGTTGTGCATGGTTGCAGTTAAATACGTCTTCTTGTTTTTGAAAATTTCGTTGCCCAGCGTGACTGCAGTGGAAAACCGAAATGCATCCACGCCTGTTTTTCACACCCTAAAAAAATGATGTCGGGCGGCCTCGGCGCGATGATCACAGCGGATCGTTCGTCGATCGTCATACGGACGACCGTCATTCGGAGACCGTCGTGGAGGTGGGGCACTCGTCGATGACGTTTATCGAACACTCGCTGCCGGCATCGGACGTGTCCTGTAGCTCATCGGTCGTAGTCGTGGACGACACCCGACTTCCGGGTTCGTGTTGCAGGTACGCTGCCACTACCGGTCCGTACTCGTAACAGTAGTATGGGGCAGCGCCGGAAGCGGCAACGGCTCCCGGAGGAAAGTGATGTAACCCGGTGCCGAAAGTGGGCTGGTGGTGCAAGTAACCGACCGAAGCGTGTTCAGCACCTCCACGGTGGAGGCGTTGGTGGTGCACGTGGCTTCGGTGCTGATGCAGTTGCTGTTGCAACAGTTGCTGCATTCGGTAGTCGCCACTAGCTGCGGCCGCTGCCGCCGCTGCAGCAGCCGCCGCCACGGCCACTGCACCCTGGGCCGCGTGTCTGGACGACTGACGGTGATAAGCCTCGGACGACATCTGGTGAACGGCTTCTTTGGGACACTCGTCGTCGCGGACCAGTACTTTGACCGCCACTCGTTTAGCGGGCGAACTACCTCCACCACCTCCGCCGCCACCGGACGGCACTTGCAGCTGTTTGCGCTTGGTCTTGTACCGCCTGTTCTGGAACCATATCTTTACCTGAGTTTCGGTCAGCTTCAACGAATGGGCCAAGTCGGCACGTTCCGGGCCCGACAGGTAACGCTGCTGGTTGAACCGCCGTTCCAACTCGAACACCTTCGACAGAGAGTAAAAATCATGTTGAATTATTATTATATGATAATTTTGTAGGTACAGGCTGCGAATCATTCAGCCTCAGAGTCCAGAAGCCAGACTATAGTTAAATAAATAGTTATACTTCACTGTTGCTAAATAGTTTTATTTTGTATTATTTTAGATGAGTGCTATATTATAGCGAAACATGAATTTTTCATGGAACCTATTTCTACTCCTGGTCATAATTTTACAAGATTTGTCTAAACTTTAAGTTCTTATTTAAAATAGTAAAATTACTTATTCGATATTCCTTATTTTAAAATTATGCGAGCCTCAAGTTTTCGCGTTTGGACGTTTGTATACCTAGGTATACAGTACTGACCTGGGTGTGGGAGAAAGCTGCTCTAGACCGTTTTTTGCGTTGTTGTATGTGCAGTGGTCTCTCACTATGAGTCCGTAGGAATCTTGACAATGCACTCCGGTGGTCCCCAGTCCGATTAAATATAAAGTCCCCATTACCCAAAAGTTCGATTCTTCTCCTGTATTCGATATCGTGGAACTTAAGATCATCTGAAACACGTAAATAAACTATAAATATATCATGTTCAACGAAGTTCTGGCAAACACATAGATGGTACCTATAATGTTAACCTAAGGTCGGTTTGAATAGACGGTTAACCATACTAATCAAAACACATTAACCATATCTAACCCAAACCTAACCTAACTAGGTTAGCCGCATTCTTTCCTTACAAATACTAATTAACTAATGTAATATCTGCTTTAAGGTTATATATAGCACCAACCTCTGATGTGAAGTACTACTGGTAAAACAAAAAAAAAATAATAATTGTTGTGCTGCAATTTGCTTAGAGTTTGATTTTTGAGTATACATCATGGAAATTATTGTTAAAATCTTTCCGAAATCGTTATTAACAGGATCAAATACAAAAATATTCAATTGAAAAAAGTGATAATATCATTCTGACACCCATCGATTGCCAAATTAGGATTTACTTGTGTTAACAAATTTATACAACATAGCTTGAAATTGTTTCACTAAATCGGTGATTTGTTTCATAATTTGGACAGTTTGGTGACTGGTGAGTTTATCGGTTTTTTTGTCTTTTTAAATGTTATGGAACATATTTCCGTTCACATTGTACCAGTCCAGGACTCGTAAGCTGAATGGAAAAATTCTACAGCTATAATACGATATTTTATCAAAATACACCAAAAATATAGTCTTTTTGGTATGTTTCAAATTTGAACCCTCATAATATTTCCGGAACCTAATGAGTTAAAACAATTTAGCCAACCTGAGTCAGGGTGGAAACGCGTCCACTAATGGATAGTAGTAGAAGTGTAATTTGATATCATGTTGTTAAAATCATAACGTGGAAAAAAGACAGTACTAACTCCATCCCTAACGTAATAACTAATAAACCATCACACCCCTATTTATACAAAACACATAAATACACAATATAATCTAATGTAAATTAATCAAGCTATAATTCAACTTTAAAAGCATATTTAAACAAATTACCCCTTAAATCCCCATAATACTGTTATTAGTTTTACTTTTACTTTTTTATCGACCCTCTAGTTTGAATCCAAAATTACGTATATCTGAACAAATATAGTTTTAAACTAAAATATAGGTATGTATTATATATTTTTCATGAAAACGATGGGTAAAATTTACAGATTTTACAAGAAAATGATCGCATTTATAATGCAATACCACGATACTACAGAATTTTGAGGATAATAAATAATATATTGCATTATATAATATATACTAAAGTTGATAGTACTTTTTTGATTAAAACAAAATAATTGTTTAAGTGACTAATTTTTGTTGATATTAAAAATCCAATGATAAAAATCAAACATTACTTGTGTAATTTCTTTGTTTAGGTAAGTTGAAGGGGATATTCTGATGACATATAATTAAATAATATACTATTAAATCATTTTTGTTCCTTCGCGTATTAGAAGAATTCGTATTTCCTGTGTGTGATCACTGCATAAACGCATATCGTGTGTTTTTAAAATCCTAGTCGGAAGCTGCAGTAGTCATAATATAATAATCAGTCACTCAATTAAAATATTTGATGTTACTTGAAATTATTATTACAAGAGTAGTGGGTATAATATAACGGGTGGACTATACATCATTGAGTGGCGGTGAAAAATGTTATTGTTTGAGACTCGAAAACACCTCGGACACGCTATATATGATATCATCGCGGGTAAATGCACAATATGGGCACGCATTCTCATAATATTATTTAATAGTAACCATTGTATAGTTATAATATGAACTTTCGCAGCTGAGACTGTCGGGGTGGTAAGTACGTCTAAAAGTGTCGTCGGCCTCCCGTCAGGTGCATTGGCCATAATATGCACACGACAATATTATGACAACAATGACATAACGGTTTGCCGGTTTGCGTACCCATTACAATAATATATAACTTATGCACGTTTATATAATAGGTATCATAACTGCGGTATAACGGCGGCGGCGGCGGTCGTACAAGCCCGTGCCCAGCGTCGGCTAATAGCGTTAAAAGGTTTTTATTATTTTTCGCCGCTTCCCCGTGTGATATATTATATTATATAAGAAATGACAACAATAATAATATTATAATATGGGTAATGTAAACGACGTGACGTGACACTTGCACCACTTGTACAGGACCCGTGCTTTTACCTTGACACGCGCCCAGCACGCGCCGTTTCTCTTTTTCCTTCTCGCATTTATAATGATAATAATATAATACGCCGTCGCCATCGTGTCGTGTAGCTCGGCTAATGGACGGTACGGGTGCCTATAACCTATATATTATACACCTCCTAAAACTATTACAATAAACACAGTCATTGTACTAGTCGGTTTTGTTCTTCGAGCACTAGACCAGATAGTACTGCAACCATTAAGTCCCGATAAAAAATATAATATTATTTTGACATGTACTATAGGCGCTTGGTGTTTTTTTCGTTGACTGCAGTTTACCGGACCCAAAAACTTCCGCTGCACTTGATTGGCCAGTAATAATAGTACGAGTACAACTGTAAATAGCTGCAATAAACGTATAGGTAGGTATTCAAAGGGATATCGGTTTTGTCGCTGGGCTCGACGATTTTCCGGTACATGATTTCCCGTCGACGAGACAACTGTCGACATTTATGATGAGAAATAAGCACATTTAACTAAAATATGTTACACTATAATGATGTTAAAAAATTACAATGCAATATAATATTATTATATCCGGTCAACTATTATTATAGTATTGCAACCAGATAAAGACGTCGTGAGTATACTTTGAATCATAGTTTTTATTTTTATCCGAAGCATCTTTTTGTACTCCGATTGAGCGCGATATTTTCAAATAATTTAGACGTGCACCCAATGGAGTCAATAATAATATAGATATACCTATGGAGTTTTGATTTATTTCGAGACGATACTGTTCAAAGCGGAAGTCGTACCACCATTATATGTGTGGATAAACAATTTTAAATCAACGCGTATGTACAGTTGAAACTTTAAAATCGCTATTGGATCAAAAAAACAAAAAATTATAAATTATTAGGCATATATAATATAATTAACACGAAACGAGCGATTATTTATCGACGCGGAGGTCACTTATTCTCTACAGCTCTGGATCCCGTGATATCATATACTTATTCTTTGTAATTGATTCGAGCTGTCACGGCGGACGGTAATCAGATATATATATATATATAAACACTGCACACACACCTACATATTATTATTATATATATTATACGATGCGTGTATATAATACTTTAGCGGCGGCGAGGAGGTGGCGAGGCTGTAGCTTGCGGGTTGTCGGAAGAGCACTCACCGCGAGGCTCCTGTTAATGCATCGCACTTGACTTCCAAACAAAACGCTGGCGTATACATAATATATATATATATATATATCAAACAGTCTGGTTCGTATGTATAATAATAATAATAATAATAATAATAGTAATAATAATACGTGATCCGTTTGTTTGCTCGTCTCGCGGACGGGCTCTGCCGCAGCCGTCACCGTTTGTTTACCTATACGGGACATAAAATAATAATATATTATATTATCAATCGACCCCGTGACCCACCGCCACCGCCGCCGTACTATACAGCCTCTGCGGGAACCACTGCAACCTGCACCCAGAGGGGTGAGCTCGCGCGCGTTCAAGTGGATAATCACGGGCGCGAGCTGTCAGACAGATTCGATCGGAAGAGTTTCCACAGACCGAACGAGAGTGAAGTAATATAATATGACGGAGCCGGCGAGACCGTTGGATTTGACCGTGGGGGAAGGGGGGGGAAGTGTACGAGGGAGAAAAAACTAAACTATATTATCGTCATTTATACATACCGTTATTATATAATGCGTATATATTGCCATTGATCTTATTTTATTAATATTATGTATTTAATACAGTCATCGTATAATAAATAAGTGGCGCTTTAAACCCCCCTCGGAGCGGCAACCAAGATCGTGATTCACGCGGTATTCTCACGATTAATTTCGTTTCTCGATTGTTTAATGGGTATATTATGTCCGTGTTTAATAAAATATTGTTAAATCGTCTGCTACTGCTGCCGCTGCTGCTGCTGCTGCTGCTCCAACAGAGGCGTCTCTGTATTTATGTTATCATCGTTTTAAAAATGAGTATACTTCAAAACCCCTCTGGTCCATTATGATTGTTTTTGACCGTCTCGCGTAACGCAGACAAATACTTAACAGCAGTAATGTGATTAAAATAAAACTATATATATATCTTGAGTATGTAAACATGTATATATATATTATATTATAATATTATTATATGTAACATTTCACATTACTATACATCATAATTTATACACACAGAATAAATGTCCCTGTAATGTAGGAATATTCCTCACCTACAGAAAATCTAGATAGATACAATTGCATAGTAAGTGATAACAATACGATTCACAAACAACGGAAGAATTGCGGTGTTAAAGTACCTGCACTAGAGTTAAATGTCCGTCGACTTCAGAAATTATGCTTCACTTACAAATTTAAGTAAAATATAATTTAGGAGACGAAATACGGAGTTCCATTCACAAGAAATAAAACTGAACTCTTGGTAACAATCTACTTTATGATTTCAGTGAAATCGACAATAACAAACTAGGGTGGATTTTTATATTTTATTGCATCTTTTAAACTTGAAAATAATAAACATACGCATTCAAATTTTAATTTAATTATCGTGAAATAAACGATACAAAGTAAGCAGTGACCCGTAGTGATAAAAAACTTCTATTAAAATGAGAACTCCCATTGTTTACTGGATAATTAAAAGTTGTCATAATACCTACCTCTCAAAATCAAAACTCGAATGAGTAGTTTTTGAGTTACTTAACTTTATACATGGTAGTGCTGGGTTTGTAATAATATATAATGGGAGCAATGATAGTTAAAACATTGTAGTAATTTATATTAATCTATCAATGTTTATAATTTATAAAAATGGTCCAAGTATAATAAATACTTTCTCCGATATCACATCTGTGTTATACTATTGTAAAACCATTTTTAAGGACTATTATCCTTAATACAAATATTTAAATCATATTGTAAACTACTTATTCGAATTTTGAATTAGATACATTAACATTATTCACTAAATAATTTACAGTAAACAGGGGGATGAGGGTTCCCACTTTGAAAAATAAAAGTGTTTTACTGCAGGACAATCCTTAAGTCTAAAAATCGGAATTTTGATGAATTCATAGTTCAATGAAAACATGGGGTGAGCGTGGTCGGTGAATCACCCTGCTGTATTTGTTATAATTCATGAGTACTACATAATATAGCCATATACGAGTAGGTAGCTTTTTATTTTGGCATACTGATTTTCGGTAATTTCTAAGTACTAACATATACTACCTACCGCATTATATGAGATATTATACAATTATACGATGCACGTTGATAATGTAAAAGTCTTTAAAATAACTACAAAACTGTGTACAATATTTCCAAGTGTCGTAGGTTAAGTGTGGACAAAGAACTTTCGTTTTAAAGTGTTGATTTATTATGAAAATAAACTATTTATATACTTATGTCTTATACCAAACGCATTATTAGTGATGCACATTTATTATATATGTTTATGAATTCCATTAAATGAACAAACGTTTTAATTCTGTTTATTTATTCTTAAATTGAGAATTATGTTTACATTAAAACATGAACGTTTTAATTTTCCCTCTCTTTCAGTAAAACGTTAAGACTCAACAGTCAGTGTGCACAATAATATGATAAATAAATTAGTTATATTATACATTCTCTAACATATACATTAAATAAGATGAATCAATCAACAATTATATGGGTATTAGTTAAATGGCAAATGAGTCTATTAAAATCAAATCATGTGGTTAACACTAAAATAGGACGGAGAGAGTAACAAATAACAACAAAACAAAATTTTATTCATTTTAATATTTTTAATATTTTTCTAACCACTATCCTTCAGATATGAATATACCTAATATAATTTCAGTCATACTTTTAACCAAAAGACATCGGGTCTTGTTCCTACGAGGCAGACATCTTTTTTCCACGTCATTTTTTGTAACAAGGGATGGATTTCTAATTGTGAAACGGTGTGCTAAGCACCAGCATACATAATATATTAAGACTGACCTATTTTAAATATACTGATTTCTAAAGTTATGAAATAATAGTATAGTTAAATAATATTTTTGTGAATTTAATAGTTCTAGATTCAATATTTCTTGAACATTTTTCCAGTTTTCAAAAATTGAAAAATGAAAATAGACCGAAGTCAAGAAAAAATTGTTCCCTGAAAGTGTTTTTGCCCTGGTTGTTGAATTTTCTGATTTTTATAGTCCCCCTCGTTCAAGTAAGCGAGACGACAAGCTCAACGAAACTGACAAGTATTCAATATCGTAGGTAGTCAATAGAACAAACATTAATGATATCTTATGATAACGCTGCAGAATGCACTGTGCAGCTTATGATATTTTACGAAGAAAATAAATATGATTTGTATGCAATTAGAGCCTGATGTAACGAGGTGCTTGGCCCCAGTCACTAATGTGAGCTACGGTCGAGCATCGTCCGGCTTCGTTAGCTCTCAGATGGGTGACCACCCGGGATCAAAGTGACCCTACATACATATGTGTTTAAACCCAACCTTAATCATCCTATAAAATACAAATGGCCATAGTTTCTGATGCTTATTCAATAATAATAATAATAAATTGTATGCATTATTACAGTAAGTATTTTGGTAATTATATTGAAATCTAAACAAAAGAATTGTACATTTTTTAACAATAAAGAAATTATTATTAATTTATTATCATTTAGATAGTAGATACATCTAAATTTAAATAGAAACAAACGTTTTCTGAGTTAATAAGCTATAAGTACCAGAGTCTACTGGTATAAGGATAATAATCTTACATAAAATATAAAAATGTATATTTAATGTTTACTATAGAACCAACCTTGTTTGACACTTAAACAATTTTCCCAATTATAAAATGCTGATAATATGTTAAGAGGATGTCACCCCAGTATTTGTTTTCCTATCAACCTACACTCAACAAAGACAAAACGCATTCATGTAAAATCATTTGGTATGATTTTTCAGTAATCTTAGAATGGTCACTTATAATAAAAAATATAGAGAGTAATATTTTTAATGATTTGAAACATCGGTTATTTACTATATACTATACTTTTATTTGACCCTAAAAACTCTTATCATTTTTTTAGAAGGTTTGAATAGATATAAAATATTTTGTTGAGACAATATTTAGAAAAACTGATATGGAATATGCCCCCAAAAATAGTACTATTCATAATTTTTGTAACGGGCGATTTTGCTCTAAGGTAACTAAAAAGTTAAAACATAAAAAAAAAAAATTTTTGGGTGAATGTGTTTTGTTTGAACAATAGAGAGAAAAAAAAACAAACGATGCACTAATATCCTATTAATATTAATTTTTATAAGTTTTTAATTCATCATAGCTCTAGCACCTTTAAACGTATTTTCATGGACCATGAAGTTTCATAATTATAAACCACTAGGTTAGATTATTTATAAAGTTAGATAAGTAGTAAGATTACTAACTTAACTAACTTATTTATAAGGTTAGGGTAGATTTATTGAGATATTTAAAAAATTAATCTGCTTAAAAATTTACAGTATAAAAATGGTGTTACTCATTCAAAAGAAAGCGACGATTATATCGATACAGGATAGTCATTAAATATATAAAAAGTATGAGGGTTTAAAAATACTAATAAATTCATGGTGGATAACGCGAGATAAGTAAGATATTTTAGACTCACATTCTGAGCCATTAAAAAAAAATAGTTTATTCGACTTGATTGTAATAAATGTTGTAAATACTAGAACTTATTAGTATCTTAAAGTACGTTTTCATAAAATCTCAACTGCATTAATTAAAGATACATAATATAATATTATAATACGTCATAACAATACTTGTTCAGTGGGGTTAGTTGTCATCTTGAAGAATAACAGAACAAATAAATAAATATAATAATACATATACAAAGAGTCGGGAGTGATGTACATATTATTTTCTACGGATATCCTTTCGCGCGTCCTGTGAACTCGGATCACTGCAGCGGTCTCATAATATTCGCAACGATATAACATTATAATAACAGCCAAGAATATAACATTAAGCTGTTGTTATATATGAGCCTTACGTATATATATATTTTTGAATTATAGTTAAATATATAAGTATGATAATACCACATATATTAGAAAATTACCTAGAGGCAGGTCTACTCGACAGTATAATAATTTATCGTAACAATACTATGGGGGGACTTGCCTTTTTTGTTGGTGCATATTTTGTTGTTGTTGGTCATGTCCAGAGCTCCGTCAGTGCAGTTCTTGGCGCGACGTGCAGCAGGTGCCGCCGCGTCCACGTCTCCATCGCGGGCCACCCGGTCGTCGCTTTTCAGTATGTCCGCTATGGAAAACGGAGTGAGATTCTTGTCCTCGGTCATCCGTGCGGCCTCGCACGCGTGTCTCGGGTGCGGTGCAGACTGTGTCCGCCGATTTCGTAATAATATTATGTGCAACTGCAATGTCAGTATAATATATCGTGCAGTCTGCGTGCACTGTCAAAGTTTCTCGGTTTCGGTCACACTGCGGATATTGTCGTGCATGCGATAAAGAACAGTTACGGTGACGCGGTCGTCGTCTCAAGGTCGCGCTCGAGGAAAATCCTTCGCCGTTCGACGGAAATTCGTCCTGAACACTGCGGTTTGAGTATATACGTACCTATATAGACGGTGCGAGCGACCGTCGTGTCGTGCGGACGGCGTACGACCAACGGATGACGATCCAGCACGGTGTCCCGTCGTATATAATATAATATTGTATTATGAGCGCGTGTGCATACTTACGAGAGTGTGTCGTCGGCGAAGGGTCCGTCGCGGCGGGGTCGAGAAAGGGACCGGGCCGCCCGGCGACGGGCCAATGGCAACAGCGCACGCTGAACGCGCGCTCTAGACGCCCTCCGAGACCGCGGGACCGCCCGCCCAAAGTTTCGACTTACTCGGTGCGCACAGTGCACATTTTGTAAGTGTCGGACGCCTCGGTCGTCTCCAACTCAAAATCCTTCGCCGTCACATAAGCCGATATATTATATACGAGACGAGATACTGTGTATACCTACATAATGCATTATACATACATAGGTACTGTTGTATAGGTTTGCTCGCGAGAGCTGATATAAATACAACAATATGGTGTACCCTTTTTCACTCTCTTAAAATGTATATACCCGCAGCCTCGTATATATATATATCGTATTGTTTTGTCGTATTTAGAGTTGCGGGGTCGCTATGTTTTTCTAACGTCACGAAAGTATGCACTGCAGTCATAACCGTGTTGTAATAATAATATTACGTAGACTTATTTACCCATTGAATACTTACACGACGATAATAGTAGGTACCGCTGTTCTAGATTACATTTTATAATAAACGTGTTATAAAGGTCTAAAAATGAAAACTTCAAGCACGGTTTTTGGGATCGAACGATACTTGATGACGACGAAACGTACAAAAAATAATTTTTTTTTTTATTAAAAAATATATACATAACTTAAGTACAGGCTACGAATGTTTATTAGATTATATTGTTATATATTTTGGTGTGGAAAATATCCCGCATAACTTTCATAGAAACAAAAGTGCCTTAGAATCGTGTACTTATGATTGCTGTTAGTACTTATATGTTATACTGTTGAATAGTGGTGCTGCACAGTGATTGCAACTTCGATTTCAATTAAGGCAGAAGATACAAGAAAATTATTGAAAATTGTAATAGATGAACTCATCGAACTGTAAAAAAGACTCCGCAAAATTACGAGATCTATAATGGTCATAAGTAATCATACAAATTATTTATACTAACGGGATTACTGCAGTTTAATTGTTCAATTCCGTTGCTGAGTTATTATTTTTTTATGACGAAAACAGGTACCTTTAGAATTTTGGGGCATTTTAAATTCGTCCAAACATGTGCACCGTCAAGTGTTCGAACAACAGTTTTGGTTTATTAATTTTTCATTTAAATATCATACAATATACTCATCTGCAACTGTTGGGTGAAAAATAAAGCAATAATATGATATACATTGAACTATATAATTTTAAATGAGACGGACGTTTCCTAAAAAACAACTGTACATTATCTACACTCGGGTAAGAAATCCAATACACACACAAGGAGTACAACACAACACTAAATAAACAAATTCGTTTATACATACGTATATGTATGTATGTATATATATAATATACCGTTTATATAGTGAGTGTAATACGTATTATATATAATATGATCGTTTATACAATATTGAATATATCCTTACGGAAGAGTGCTGCGTGTGGGTTTCATTGATAATTTTATTAAAAATAATAAGAACCGTGCGGTGGCACAATAATAATAATGTAATACTATTATACGCAGCAACTATAATAATATATTATGATATCGTCAGCTTTATATTATGATATTATTTTATCATTTCGAAAAAGTCAAATTATAAAAATGAGTGACCACATTTTTTCCACAGACACATTTATATATTATATTATACAGAGTGGTCAACCAAGCATGCTCACCCTCATATTTTTCTTTAGCAATGCATTTGTTCAAATTTTGGAATTTTTATATATACTCGGACTTTATTTTCAAATTCTTGATTTTTTTTCTACCTACTTAAGGAGTATCCTGTGTCGAAATAAAAACTTCTGTTTTTCCAATAAAAACCGCCATTTTTAACTGGAAATTATTTGGTGGATATTTTTAAAAAATATTTTAATGTTCATTATTTAAAATTTAAATGAGTAGTTTCTTAATTATTAAACTGTGTATCAGGATATTACTATAATAGTCCTTAAAACTAGTTTTTTGAAAATATAAAATACACGTAAACATTGAATATAGTATAATATACTTAGTATTATACTTAGGCAATTTTTACAAATTATTTATATCGATGAATTAATAAGAATGACTAAAATTTTCGAATAACCATAGCATCCATAAGACCATTACTTATATGTCCACTACGTTTAATCCATAGAATACACATTTAAAGAACTCAAATACGAAATAAAATATAAAATACTCAAATACTCTAGTACGAATTTTGATGCTGATACCTATGTCAAAATTTTCAAAAAAAAATATCCACTGTATAGATTACAAATGAAAAGTAGATCTTAATTTGAAAAATAGAAGTTTGTAACGTCATAGGACTTTTTTTAAGTAGTACATACAAAAAAACCTCAAGAGTTTGAAAATATGGTTTTTGAAGCTTATTTAAATTCCAAAAATCTTTTTTTGAGAATTGCATAATTGAAGTAAATCGGGATTGATCATTTTTGATGAATCATCCTTTATGTACTGATAATATTATATTATGTACACACTTAAGTATACAAAATATACTTATTGTAGTATTGTACTAATAAAACAAAAAACAAAACCAAAAAAGTAAGAAAATCATTACACTTTTATCAAGACTCGAAAACTAGTAGGATTTTTGAATATTCATTTATTATTATTGTTATTTGGTCATTATATGTATGTATATTTTTAATTTTACATATTTTGTTAAATATGATATTATAATTCTCATAACATGTCGGGAAATAATTATACTGACAAATACTCAGTAAAATAATTTAATATTCCATTTTTTTTATAATTATAAATAAAATATTTTATTTTATTCAGATTTTGGATATGTTTTTTGAATTGATTATGAATATAATTTAATAAAGTAACCTATTCAAGGTGTTTACTCTTTAAGTATTCTGTATACCATAATTACCATAGGTGCAAAATCAATATCTCTTAAAAAGTTAAGAAACGAGACAAACTAATAACATACGATTATCTAGTACTCAATTTTTAAGATAAAATATTTAATTGAGTGAATCATTGTACAGGTGTTCGTAAAAGTGCACGATTATTATTATGAATATTTTATACTTAGTTATTTACTTTGTGGTACCTAATAGTATAGTGTCTTTAATTGTAGAATACATGTAGGTATTAAACATATTTTAAATCCTTCGATAAAGGTATTAATCAATAATTAGTAATGTTTATGACTAATAAATAAACACACTAGATGAAGTTAAATATTTTTACAAAAAATAATAGTTATTTTCTCTGACTATCGCAAACGACAAACACTGAAGTTTTAGGTATAGCAACACTACTTATAATAAATATTGGGTAGGTATAAAGTGGTTAAACATTAATTAGGTACATGATGCATTGAAAACCTAATCACACACTCTATATTAACAAATAATAACATTATATAGCTGTATCCCTACTTTACTCTCTTGGGTGCATAAAATAAAAACAAAATACATTTTGTATATTTATAGTATAAAAATCATTTGCTCGACTACCGTGTGTTTATCGTTTTATATAAAGGAGAGCGATTTAGTCGAAGGGTACTTTCAGTGTTCCACAGTTTCGATGAATATATGTTTACGTAAACAGTATACTGTTTCCCGCATAAACACAACACAATATAGATTCACTGAAGTTACACAAACCATGTACTTTTTACTATAACGATTTTTTTTTGTCTAAAAAAGTACCTATATGCCTACTTAAGTTTTCAATATCTCTTTTGAAATTCGTTAAAATTAGAACTATATTTTAATATGCTTGATCAAGTGCGTGAGTGCGCCGATTTACGTATACTTTTTTTATCTCACACTGTATAATTATATGTATAAGTAATACTTAAGCACAGCTTATGAGGATAAGCAGTTGTAAACGTTCTGGCCATCATTGATTTTAGGGCTATATTATAGTAATATATAGAGCATATACTATACGGTTTGTTAATTATATTATTAGTGTACACGGTTTTCTAATTATATTATTAGTGTATGGTTTAATAATGGAACAAGTATATGATGGTTAAAAATGACGAGATAAATTGCCATGTTCCATATGTGATTAATACGTATGTGTATATGTTTCTTTCAAAGTACTTGAGAACTTTACAGGATTCTTAGAGATTTGTTCAAGTGAATAAATTGATGTATATTATACATCTCTTATGACGGTGCCTAATTGCAGTGGCTTAGAAAAAAAAAACAACAATGATCAACAGTCAAAGTGTTTTGAACACACTAAAAAATCGCCAGCTGTACATTTTTAACCGGACGCACTTGTGGGGGGTTAGGACATTCCGCCTCAAACGAAAATAAACACTTGAGTATCAATATATATGTATAGTACAATACGTATAATATATTATCCGTGGACCTTGTATTTAACAAGAAGCATCAGTAGGCGTAATTGGTAAATTGGCATTCTATATATATATTTTTTTTTTCTTTTGGAATCCTCTCGTGAACATTATAATAACATTATGTAGTTGGAGTCATCAATAAAACCTAATGGGGGAAAAAAAATAAACGTATGGAGCGTATAATAATATTATACATAATATTTTTATGTACGTTATTGCGAACCGCGGGCGAGCTCGTGATTACAAGGTGACGTGCAATTATGCGGAAAATTTATTGGCCGAATTCGGTGGGACGAGAAAAGAAACGGCAACTTTTCGATTTTCGTTTAATTAAAGTCCTTTTGATCGAAGAAAGTTTAGCGGAACGAACGAGAAAGTAGAAATAAAAAATAAATAAAATAAAAGCGAAAAAAATATATGTACACGCGGGGAAGAGGGCAAAAACATTTTTCTCGATCGCCGAGTTTCTTTCGCGCCCCCAGCCCTCCGCCGCCACGAACATCTTCGACTGGGAATCGTCCTCATCCGACATATATATGATAATATAAATCCGAGAAATCGTATTCCCTTTGAACGCCCGCGCACGGAAACGTGACAATCATGTCTAATGACGTAATTAATTC